GATTTCAGAAGCCTTATTTTTCAGTTTGTAATGATGTAATTTGATTAACGGGTTTAAGTTTATAGCATAACCTACAAACTTACAAATAAACAAAAACAAGTTCTTGAAGGCTCCAGAAAGACATAGTACTACTATACTTATATATGGTTTTAGAAATTTCGTGTTAGGGGTGGTATTTTTTCTTTTAAATCTATTGAATTAAACCCTTATTTTGAGCAAAGTTCATCGAATTATGATAAAGGAAATCACTTACTTTATAACATCATGACCCTAGTGGAGGGGGTTCCCAACCTTTTTTATGCCTCGCATCTCTAGAAAACTTATGATCTCGCATCCCCCTAAAATAAAACACGCACACACGTAATCTCATGAAGGCAATTTATAATCAATTTGAGCAACAGATTTAAGTTAATTTTTCAATGACATAAGAGAGAACCATTATAACAAACTTAAATACTGACAAATACGAAAAAAAAAAAGCTTTTCATTCAATGTAAGTGTAAATTAAACAATCTCAATTCTAAAATCTAATATCAAGAAATTCACATCAAAAAATGTCATTTAAATCTAATGAAGTTTGTTTCTGTTTCTTGGATATGATTTTGTAAAAATGTGGTACTTTGTTGTCGATAGCGATTTGCATGTCTGCCTGTGGATTCATGTGACTTCTAGATTTTGTCTTTGATAAAAAGAACTAAATCTAGACTCGCATATGTGGTCGAAAATGGGATAAGGACACCAAGTACTTTTCAGTCTTGGAAACATATTTATTGCTGAACACCAATACTCCTCTAAAGTCTTGCCTTGAAATTGCATTTCAAGAGCAGGATTTGTCCGCAAGTCACTAAGATCTTCCTTCAGCTCGTCATCATCCGACATATTATCCAAATTGTAGGTGTATGAGTTCATGATCCATTCTCCTGAAAAACTAGATTCATTCATACGAGTCTTCAGCCAAATAAGCCAGCATTTGCATGAAATTTTGGGATTCCAATTCACCAACCAGATCAGTCACATTCCTCCAGAAAAAAACCTTTGATTTCTTTCCACAGTTCGAAGGAGCGGGTTAAAGCTCGCCCTCGTAAGAGCCAGTGGACTTCAGTGTGGAAAAGCAAAACTGTTAATTTCCCAGATCTTCACAACGCAAACTAATCCCTAATCCAGTTGATGATCTTTACACAAGTGTCGAGTATTTATTTTTTATTTTTAAACCTTGGAGGCAAAGTTTTTGCTGCCAAAGCATGACGATGAAAGAAACAGTGGATGACTTGCAAATGCGGAATCTCCCTCTTCAGTGCAGAAAATCTAGATTTATTCCCTAGCATCGCAGGAGTACCATAAGTGCACACAGAACCAATAGTTTGGATATTTAAATCATGTTTGGCAAAGAAGTCTTTTCACAAATTGATACACATCTTGTGTGGTTGTTTTCAGCTCTTCCCGAAACAGGAAATCTTTCACAATACTATCACTGACATAACTAACCGATGCAATGAGTTGAATGCAGTTTGATACATCAGTTGATTCAACCAACTGGAGATATTTTCAAAGAACTAGACCTAAGATAACTTGATCCAAAATATCATCACTCAAATCGCCAATTCGATTATGAATGACATTATTTGATAGCGGCACTTATTCAAGCTTTTTTTTCTTGCTTCTTGGCCCAGAACAGTTGTTGCCATTTCTAATGCACATTGTTTGATCAGCTCTTCTGCAAATGTATGGGGTTTCTTGGACTTGCCTACTTTATATGCCACTTGGTACGAAGCCGACAGCAGTGGTTTGTCAAAAGAAAGAAAACCTAATTTTGGAAAGCTCTTTTTAGAGATTGAAAATAGGCTCTTTTAGTCTTCAGTGATTCAAAATCATGGGCTTCAACACCATTCATCATTTCCCGTGAAAGTGAAACCAAAGGGCATCATTCCATTTATTCCATTTATATATATATATATATATATATATAACCCGGATATAAGATTTTTTCTGGTCCAATATTAGAGCCTGTCTATGTATATAAATAGACCAAACCTGATATAAGAGACTTCTTCTCCTGTCCTGAAAACTACACACACACACATATATATATATATATATATATATATATATATATATATATATATATACACACACAGACATGAGGGGTTAATAATCTAAGAGATAGAAAAAAAGACTTGTGAATGTAATAACCAATATAATAGAATCCAGCACCCATCAAATTTGGATTCTACAGATAATTCTGAATTTGAAGTTAAAAAAAAAAAAAAGTCCCACCCACTTGGCAACCTGACTATAACCAGTATCTGACAGGAAGCAGCGCCGCCTATTTCCGGTTGTTAATTTGAATGCTATCCATATTATCTTATTACTGTTACACTGGCTAATTTAACAAGAGTCGTTTTCTCTTCCGCTATTGTTAAAATGGTTAAAGGTATCAGCAAAAAAGAATAAATTTGAATGTTTAATGGTTAAATTTAAAGATTTCAATTTATTTTTGTTAAATTGCCAAATCCAATGTTTCGCAGGGGTGAGAGCACCACCGGTTAGGAACCACTACCTTTTAGTGTGTATAGACTCACCAATTTTAAACCTTACCAAGAATCTACCCTTACTACAAATTAGCTTATTGTATCATAGCGCGAGATTTGTTAATATCCATCAACTTTGTAGCGGCGTTGGTAATTAGTCACAATTAGTGTAGTCAGTTGAATCAGTGCCGCCGCTAGATTCCCCCTCCCCTTCCCCGAAACTTTGATACGGGACCTCCCCTCTCTACTACATGTCAATTACAAAGTTTCACAACCTGGGGACCACAAACCCACGAGGGCAACGGTTTTTTTTCCTCTTCTCATACCAAAAATCTGATTTGTTTTAAAAGCAGTATTTCAGTTTTCGAGAAAATTTTTCTTTAAACATTTTTATTTTTTAAGATCATTTTGTCTGTTTTATTCTAAAAATGTGAAAAATAGTAACTAGAAATTTTATTTTAATTACTGGACATAGACTTCTAGTTAGTATCACGATTAGTAAAAAAAAAAAAAATCTTCAGAGGATGATCGCGGAATAAAAAAAAAAAAGTAAAACGCGACTGAAATTAGCAGTAGGCATGGGGACCCCATGTGGTTGAGAGGTTAGGGGTAGAAAGTACCGGCACTGTCGATTATTTTAGTTGATGATTGACAAGTAAGGTAGAAAAAGTCAAAAGTACAAAAAGCAAAAACGCTGCTGAAACTAGCCCTCGTCGGGGGTTCTTGCCTAGTACGTACTGCATCGGCCATGCAGACGATGTATATTAGTTGACTGACAATGTAACATCAGTTAAAAAAAAAAAAAAAAAAAAAAAAAATGGCGGATGACCATAAACAGTGCTGAAAAAAAAAAAAAATGACAGGCCACAACGTACCCCCCCCCCAACACCTAAAAAAAAAAAAAAATCGCGCCCACACCCCTGGTCATGGGTTTCGGGTTAAGACGCACCGGCCCTGAGTTGAGTTCTATGATCGTGACAAAATTTAAAACTGCAGATTTATATTTTTTTTTTTTTTTTTTTTTTTTTAAGAAAGTTATCGGTGCGTAAGTCGGAATCTGCATGCCAAGGTCGTTGCGTTTAATTTCTCAAAAAATACCTTGGGAATGTATGGATTCATTTCTTCTGCTCTCAACTTTTTGAAATGTATCTATAAAAGTCTAGCATTCGTCCATGCATTTAATATTTCTGTCACATCTGGTGCTTCCATGTACATACAGATTCTAGATAAAATACAAAGAATCTGCAATATTATTGATCCTGAACTGGCATCTCTGCTTCATTTTCACACCACCGTAATGTAGTTGTCCGTGCCTGTTTTTTTTTTTTTTTTTTTTTTTTTTTTCTTATAACAATTCTCATAATTCTGTTCTGAATTATGGTACCTAGATTTCATGGATTTAAGCGCCGTCAAGGTTTCATCATTTTCCAGTTGAAATGTCTAGATATAACCGTAAGTTCTATGCTAACAGTTTCTTCTCTTCCTGCTTTCCAGCCAACTTTGATCGTCAAAACATTAAATGCAATGCCAAGTTCTTTCGTATTAATTCCTGTCTTTTTTTTTTGTTTTCTCAATCTCTCGCTCAGTAATCCCCTGTGGCTTAGTGGTTTTATTGCCTTGCATGGGGTGAATATTAAAACGTTAGAAGTAATTTTTTTTTTTTGTGGATACACGTATTTGAGTAGAACGTCCCGTGTTGGTTTGCTTTTTCTTTTTATTTTTTTAATTTTTTTTTTTTTTTAAACGGTGTTTATTTTTGTCTACCAGTTTGTTCATCCGAACCCGCGTCTCCCTTAGGAGGAATTAGTCAGATAGTCTGCTTTAAACCACTCAGCTACGGAGAAGCTCATACCAAACGACTCCCTACTTGCCTTAAAGCATAAGTATTTAAATGTTTTTACAGGACAAAAAAAAAAAAAAATCGTACAAAAAAAACTAGGCGTTCTAATCAAATACGGATATGTCCTAAAAATAACGTCTGAAGTAAATGTCCTATAAAAAAAAAAAATACATTAAGAAATATTTAACATATTCGTTCTCTCATTTGCAGGAGCGAGGTCGCGTACTTTTGCATTCGATCGGTGGGAGTTTACCTCTGGCCAATTCTCTGGTGCACCTGATTTCTTTTTTTTTTTTTTTTTTTTTTTGTCTGTTGTAAAATTTGAACTCCGTGTTTATTTCTTCATAATTAGACATTGTCGGTTGAACCTAATTTATCTGAACACAAATCATTTTTCCTGATTTATGAATTGCCTTCTATATTTTTATCTTTTTCTTCTAGGCTTCAAAATGTTGTCTCTTTCTCATACCACGATGCCGGCTTTGTCAACCTCTAACTTGGGCGACATATGGCGTTCTAAAAAACAGCCTATTTTTCAATGGTGTAAAATTTCCGAACGAGAAAAAAGTGAAATGTTGAAGGAAAATCAAGCCAAAAAACGGACCGTTCAGATTATTTCACGGACCTCAGAAATGAACCCAGATGTGAAGCCCTTTCACCCTAGAAATAAAGGGCTGGCTCGATCGGAGGGACTGTGGGAAATGTATTGCAACCAATCAGATCCTGTCGTCTTTGACCATTCTGTAAAAAACGGGCGGTCAAGCTGGCCAGATGCCCGTGCACACGCGAATGGCGAAGAATCGCCCTTTCACTTTAGACTTTACGGAGAAAAGGACTTCTGGGGTTATGTCCTACCGAATACCCTCTTTACACAGGAAAGGAGTTTCTCGTGGGGATTAAGTGTCCCGACAGACTGGCAATCTCCTGTGCATCTTTGTTTTCCCGTCACCCTGCTTGAAGACGAGTTAAATTGGGAAGATTCTTCGGTTAAACCAAAATCGGCGTTGCTAGACTCTTATAATGCTGTGACACCAGGCCTTGAAAATGGAAAGATCTTTCTGCCTGAGAACACTATAGCTTCGGAGATCTTGGAGAAAAAGAATAGCTCAACTGAAAGTGAACAATCGTCTGACGTTACGCTCTCTCGTTGCGACGAGGATAAAACCAAAGTCTCTTCTAATTTGTCGTATTCAATGAAGGATCTACTGTTTGGAACTCCAAGATCCGATTCTCGAAAGAGACGTAAGTTTCTTGGAATCTCTAGATTAATGAATGAAAGCTGTAATTTTTACAAAAGCAATTCGCCACCCGTATTGACAGTTCTTTAACTGAAAATTTACTGTTCCATAAAGACTTTTCTACTAACTTGTAGAATGTGTAATTCTATTGGGTAAAACTTAGGATTTTAATTATCCTCTGAAAACTTAGGCTATCAGAAATACAAAGTGGAAGAAAATCAATTCGAAGTCGGGTGTGACTCCTGTGAAAAGCAGAAAACTAGTCTGAAATCTGTATGAACTGCTAAAAAAAATTGAACTTCTGCTCTGAAAAACATGGCCTTTTGACGAACTGCTTTTTTTCTGGAATTTTCTGAAGAGCAATCCTAAGACAATCTGGGAGTAGATTACTTAGGACTCGGGGTGGAAAACTGCTGTTCGAAACTGCCTTATTGTTAACTCGCAATTGGGCTAATGTCTTTTTGCTTTAAGTTGACTGTATATTCTAGTCTTTGACGATTTACTAGAATAAACGCCCTCTACCGGCAAAGAAAGGATTCATTTCCGTCACTGTTGTTTAGCGGTGGATGATAAAACAAAACAGAAATCGGAGTGTAGTTTCGATTTAATATTAAATTATGGAAGAAAAGCTGTTAATTTTAACTGGTTAAACAAAGTAGCACAGTAGCATTTTTTTTAATGTCTGTGTTTATATCCTGTATCGTACAAACTTGTGGATTTACAACATCTAACTACTTCGGCTGTATGTAAAATAACCGAAACTGCTTAAAAAAAAAAAAAAAAATGGATAAAACATTGCAGCGAATTTAAAGTTCGAATTCTATTCGAAAATTTTTTTCGAAAACGAAAAACCAAATTAAAAACTGTAAAGAAAAACACTTCCAACGACTTTTTTAAATATTTACCATTTAAATCTCTCGTAACAATTTTTTAAAATTTGTTTATAACTTGTGAATAAATTAAAAACAGGATATTTTAATTAGTTTCATAATTTGTGTTGCATTTAACTTATTCTTTGCAAGCAGCAAAGGGTTTTCGTTCCAACTAATTGACTAATTTTATTTGATCGAATAACCTGCACTAGATATTGAATCTACCACAAACAATTTCGAAATTTTTAGAAGTCTACTACAAAGTGTTCTCAGTAAGCAATAGAACAAAGTAATTGTCAACTGGAAGTGATTTCTTCAATCAATACTTGACTGATGTTTTGTGCAAGTAAATCTTGCAGTGTTTAAAGAATAAAATCGAAACTAGCTTCCCTCTCAGTTTGAACTGATCAAAACTTCCACTCACTTCAACAACGCGTTCGCTGTAATGTGTAAATCGATCACCTGTGTTGCTTGTTTTTATGTTACTGACAACGCCCTTACAAAACACGAGTGAAACTCTTCTCCAATATGAAAGAAACAGTATCGGTTTTAAACACTTAAACTCTGTAGGTGACTGTTTGCTAAGTAAAAGGTTTGTCCTGCCTTTTCAAGCAACTTCAAACAATACTATGCAGTTTTGTTGTCAAAACGAACTTGATTGAAATCAAGACCAATACAACAGCAGTGGAGGGACTGCCATATACATTAAAAAGGGAAGTAATATTAATGAAAATTGCAGGTCAATATAATTACCGCTCTAAGAAATAATGTTGACGTAGACAGTTGGTTACATAAAAATGATTTCGTGAGTAACTTTTTTGATAGATTCTTTTTAGTTAGCATCGCCGTTCTTGTAGGAATAATACTTGGGGCTTTCAATCTGATCCGAGTTTAGAGCTATTAAGCCTTCATTGGGAGGCACGGTGGAATAATGGATAGCTACTCGGATTGAGGAATCGGAGAGCCAAGTTCGAATTCCAGTTTAATCCATTACATTCATTTACGTGCTAATACCCTTGAGAAAGGCATGAATCCACTTCTCCCACAGAAAAGAGGATTTATACCTGTCCAGCTATGGGTAAATAGGACAGACCGGGTTATATACCCTTGGATGGCAACTGGTCTACTGTAGAAAGAAATGGCAAGCTACTGCGGAAAAATCTGCCTCGTCAGTCATGGAGAGAAAGATACATGATTGCCTACGCGTGTATCACGCATGGCACATGACTAAGTTGTAATAGAACAAGAATACTACTAAACTGGATTCTTATTTTTCGTCAGTTAAACTATAGCTTTTCTGTATTCCATTATTCTTGGAATCTCCTTTGTTGAATTATAGAAACTTCCCCTGATATTGAAGACTATGAAATTTTTTTCGATATTTCAAGATGGCGGCACGGTGGAGTAGTGAACAGGGTCTCGGACAGAGAAAGCTGAGTTTGAGTTCATTACATTCACTTACGTGCTAATAAATACCCTTGGAGAAATATATGAAGCCATGTTTTCTCCTCCCAACTATAGGGAAATAGCAGGGCAAAGCGTATCCTCTGACCTTGGTTAGAATGGAAAATCTCTGAATTCTAAAACCAGACTGAACACTGTTGGGTTCCGTCAGGCTATCTTACCCAGGAAAAAAAAAAACACTGCTGCGGTAGTACATATGGTGCCTCTACCACATTAAAAGCTTACACCTTAAGAAAAAAAAATATTTCAAAGTATGGTACAAAGCACAAATTCGCTGTCTACTGTGAGACTACAAATGTAGAAAATATGAGTAGGAACTCTCAACTTTTCAAATATGAAGTGATTGAATATCAATTGCCGTAAATTGCGGTGTAAAAGTAGTTTTCAATCCTAGAAAAATATTTCCAAAACTAGGGGTCACTTGTATGGTGAGTATAAAATATAAACTCTTACTGAGTTAGAAGTACTGTCCCATTTGCTTATAACACTTACTGTGTACTACAATAATATACGGTGGGTAGCAGTACTTTAAAGAAAAAAAAAACCTACCTGGTACGATGTGTAATCTACGGTATTAATATTTCATAGGAGTTTGACTTTAATGAATTTATCAGTAGACCTGAAGAACTATAAATGTTCGCTAAGTGATCAGTTATGTGCCACGCGTGATACACGCTTAGACGATCATGTATCTTTCTATACATGACTGACGAGGCAGATTTTTTTTTTCCGCAGTAGGTTGCTATTTCTTTCTGTGATAAACCAGTTGCCATCCAAAGCTATAAATTCAGGTCTGTCCTGCTTTTTACCCATAACCGGAGAGGAGGTGCGATAAGATGATTCATACCTTTCCCAAGGTTATTAGCACATAAGTGTAATATAATGGATTCGACTGGAATTCGAACTCGGCTCTCCGATTCCTCAATCCTAGTTGCAATCCATTACCGATGCGATATACGATACCTATCGATGTGTGTTATAGGCTGTTTGCGATATAACGCATATAGATATATTACAGTTAGTCTCTAAATATTCATGGGATCGACCTGTACGGTAGGTATAGTTCTAGTTTTGGGCTAATAATATTGAGGTCGACTTTATGGTACTTATCTTTGAGTCATGCCTTCTCGTGTACCATGGTAGGTGACATTCACCGTTGTCTTCTTTCTCTTCAATTCAGCTTTTCTCGACTTCGGTGTCTCAACGTGATGTGGCCGTAAGCCCGAAGAACATCGAAGTTAAGCACCGTCGAGCCTGGTCAGCACCTAAATGGGTGACCACTTGGTGATAGTAAGCTTGGATGTGCGGATAGTGAATAATTTCTTCATTGTACCCTGTCCTTTCAGGACGATGGCGTTCATGGCCCTCCACACCTTCCCCGTTCTTTGTAGCTCTTCACACAAGCTAATTCTTCATTACGCCGTGTTCCTTTAGGACGCTGGCGATCTACAATTTCATGTAGTTTGTAGTTTGAAACTCGTGAGATCACCGAAGTTAAGCAACGTCTGGCCTTATCAGTACCTAGATGGGTGACCACTTGAAAATATCATAAACTTGGATGTGCTGGTAATGTAATGAATAGTGGCACGGAGGTTGGAATGTCGAACTGAACCCTTTATTTCGCTCAATGGGGTAGTCTGTTGTAGTTCCACATACCATGTTTAATGGATGTCGGTTATCAGTTATCTCTATCTCCTGTTAATTCCCCTCTCTAAGTTCTCCACTGCCTTAACCGGATATTGAACTCGCACTCTTTGTGTCCTGTCACTGGATCTAACCTATGTGCAAAGACGTAACAAAAATTCGGTGTTATATGAATTCAAAATATTTGTAAGAATATACAACAAAAAGATTATTAAATGAAGTATTTTTAAAAATGGTCACCGCTCACAGAACTAGAAACAACGTGTAAGTTCGATTATCACCGATCAGTTGTGACCTTGTGTCAGACTAAACTAAGTTTAACTGTAAGCAAGTATATTGTATTTACAAGAAAAAGGAAGATGAAGCGTGTTAATAATATAAGGACTTATTTTTCTATTAATTCACCACAAAATAAAAAGAATTTATATTTACTAACATTCGCACCAAATTCTTGTACTTTCATTGTACTCTGGTTGGGGTTTGCGATCACCCCAAATGTGACCGACTCGGGTACGCTATTTTTAAGTCTGGGGCCTACGTTCGCGCTTATACTGAAGCCAAAAACAGATTTTTTTTAAGTTGTAAAGAATTCCTTGTAAATATTTCAAATATCATCCGAACTTGCAAAATGTAAATAACGTTTTTTTTTTTTTTTTTTTTTTTTTTTTTGTGGGGTAATTTTTCATTATGAGGGTTGGAGTTGTTATAAGGTAAGCTAAACAAATTTTGATATAAAATTTATAATTTCCAAAGAGTGCCAAAAATTTAATACAAAAAAATCAAACTTTGATTTAAAATTTATAATTTCTTCGGGTGAATTAAGATTTGCGATAAGTAACTCTTCATTATTTGGGGTGAATTAACAGAAAAAAAAATCCAAAAATAAAATAAAGCGTGTAATATGAAACTAGAGAATCTCCCACAGAGGATAGTAAAGGAAAGCGAGAAGAAAGGACTATTCATCAATTGTAAGACAGAATGTATGGTTGTTAGTAAATGATTTCTGCTATATATTTAGAAATTC